AAAATTAAATATCTAAAATTTTCAAGCAATATTTTTTTAAAAAAAATAAATATTAATTTTATGATTAAAAATATATTTATCTATATTATATTAAAGAATAGTAGTTGATAATGATATTAAATAAAGTTACAAGTTAATGAAAAGTCACATAACGTAATAAGATTATATATTAGATTAAAATAAATAGAAAAATTATGTTAAATTATTAAAAATTAACTATTAGAAATGAAAGGGAAAGACTATTTGAATTCGAGATTAGAAAGTTCTTAAAAGCCAAATTTGTATCAGTAGATTACAAAATAAATGCACGTAATACAAAAAGAAATTATAAGAAAATTCAATAGATTTGAAACATTATAAAAGAACTTATTAATTTTCTATATAATATAATATATATATATATATATATATATATATATATATATATATATATATATATATATATATATTAATTTTTAGACTTATTCAACGTTATATTTTAAANATATATATATATATATATATATATATTTTAGACTAATTCATCGTTATATTTTAAAACAAAATGTGATATGCATGTTCCCGATAGAGAACTATCAACTATAAGAAAAGTATCATACTTCATTTTGAATTTTTAATTGAATAGAAAATTGAAATTCTGTTTATTTTGAGTATAGGTAAAGAAATTATGTATAAAGAGAAAAATAGAGATAGTGCGAGTATACTTATATTTTTTAAATTTATTAAAAATAAATAAATTAAATTATTAAATAGTAGTCAAAAATATGATTAATACATTTAAATGATGAAAGAGATCCAAGTAAGTGGATAATAGTGTAAAAATACATTAAATTTCAAGAATAAATTTTTTTCATTTATTGATGATTACTAAAATGGTAATAAATAAGATTAATAAAAGATCACATTATAGTATCACAATATTAAGTAATAAATAATGCAAAAACAATAAGCAAGGAACAAAAAAGAGAAAAAAATTATATCTAAAAATGTAGAAGGATAAGGATATTTGAATTTGAGATGAAAAATAAAGTGGTAGTAAGAATTTTATTAAAATAATATAATTTAGTGTGCTCAAACAAGACAGATCACAATGTTACATGTATAGATTCTTTAATATTGACCGTAAAATATAATACAAGTGTCAAAATCAAGGGGTTGAGTTATTACAGATATAGAAAAAAAAAATAAATTATCCATTATGAGATTTGAAAAATGGTTTCATGTTCTGCTTCTTAATTAATATCAAATTTTAATTTATAATTTATAAATAGAAGGTTTATTTTAAGGTTATTTGCACATAATTTAAATAACTCAAATCATAATTTGATATGTTTTATGTCCCCGCATCGCGTGGGATACTAATACTAGTTTTTATTAAAAGAACAATTTTTTTAGGTGAAAAAAGGAAGAAGGATAATACCTATTTAAAGAGTTATTTTTTCTTGGGAAGCTAAAGACAAGTAAAGTAGAAGAATTCCTATATATATTCACTTAAAATCTTTATATCAATTTTAAATTAGATAAAGATGAAAAAGCACACTTCTATTACTCCCTTTGCACTTGTACCAAACAACTAATAAAGAAAACTATGAATCCTTTATGCCAAGGAATACAACAACAACATACTAATATAATTCCACAAGTGAGATCTGGCTTTATGTGAAGGAATAAATAAATAAATTATTTTTCTTTATCCTTTCCTTTGTTAAACCATACCGAAAGAACTAGGAAGTTTTAAGTTAGCTCTTCACAACCTATTTTTAAAATTTTGTTAAAAATTTCAATATTAGTAAAAGTTCATCTTTTCATCTTTTTAGAGAAAAAACTAAATCTGCTTCTCCTCCTTTCCATTTGTGGCATCGTCTTCTTCTCTGAGTTGGCCTCTCCTCTGACCTCTCTCCTCTCCATTTTTTCAAAAAACTTTCTCTTTGCTGTAAGATCCAATATAAAGTCGAAATCTACCTTAAATGTTAGTATTCGGCCAGAAACATCTCGGTTCCTTACTCCCGAAGAATATTACATTGTCTAGAGTTAGATTTCAGTGACTTCATTGATGTCTTAGCTTTGTCCCTTTCCATTATTATGCTTTTAAGAGTTTTTGCGTTCGTAGAAAAGGGCAGGAGAGGTTTGGGAGATAGATGGAGAGAGAAGATAAGTTGAGTTGAATTTTTATTAGACAAACTGTGGGTACCAAAAGCTAAACATATTGTTTAGTTAATATAGACCGAGACCACGATTGACTAATCTTGAAATTGAAGTTCAGACTTAAATCCTGAGAGTGTGGCAGGGAAGAGATGGGCGGGGAGAAAGAATTGGGGTACCAAATGATGCTAGGTTTTAATTCTTGTGAAAAGACCCAAAAGCCTCCCTTTTAATGTGTTTCAATATTATGTTAAGGGCATTATAGGGAAAAAATGGAAAATGGGGAGATTGCTAACTACCTATGTTAGCAAAACCCTTCGGATAAAGGAAATTTGGTAGTAAAAATAGCATTGGCTTCTAAGTTTTCGGACTGATCATTTAAAAATAATCAGCGTTTGCAAAGTTATTGAAAAATATTCGTTATTTTGCTGCAACACGGAAAGTTCTAGCATAATATACTGGAGATCGGTGCACCTGTGTATAAATTTCCAGCATATTATGCTGGAACTCCAACACGTGAAAAGTTGTAGTATAATATATTGGAGTATCTTTCCGTATTTTAAATAATATTTTCGTTTAGATTTATTTTTATATAAAAAATGACTAAATTTTAATTACTTTTAAAATTGTGGCTATTTTTGAATGACCACTATTATTTTGAATTTCTCCCAATTTTGTACTGTGCAAACTCTATAAAAATTGTTTGGTAGGCACATGCACTTCATTTCTTCTCACACGCTGCAGGCACATATCTCACGTATCCCAACCGTACACGTAAATAGAGCTGAGCCGGTTCGATAAATTGGAATTTTAACGCGTGGCCTAAATGCAGAAGACTAACTTCTGGACTTGATGGTATAAATAAGGAATTTTTAGTTTCTATAGCAAAGGTTAACACCTTATTTATCGACGGTTGCTTTTGGCCAGGAAGTGACCTCGGCTCCGACACCATCGTCGGATCAAGACGGCGCGTTTTCACTACCGGTGAACGGCGGATTCGCCGAAAATTAGGGATTGTTCTTGAACAAAGACGACGGAGTTTGGGGCTGAGCAACTTGATTTTCTCTTAATATATTTTAATGTATTTTCATGTATTTCATTGTATTCATTGTCCTTTTTTTCGTTGTAATTCAATGTATCTCATTGTATTTCATGTATTTCATTGTATTCAATGTCTTTCTTTTTCCATTATATATCAATGTATCCCGCTGTATTCTATGTATTTCATTGTATTTATTGTCTCGCTATATGCCATGAATGTATTCATATGTTTTTTAATTAATATAATTTATGTATTAAGATGTATTATATAATTTCTTTGAAGATTGCTATATTTTTTTGGGTATTTTTCGCTTGAGAATCTTTTTTTATAACTGAAAATACTAAATTTGTGTGTTATAATTGAGTTTGTTGAGTTATATTAGGAGTGTATTATGTTTATTGATTCACTTTTCGTTTTAAAACAGTGTAATCCCCTATTTCACGTTGTGAATACAGTTGAATATAATAATCAGTCCAACTGTAATCCCATGTTTCACTCCAAGAATACAATCGAATACACTCGAATGCAACAACTGATTAGCTGGACTTCCCTGATTCACGCCTATTTTTGCTACTGTACTCATGAATACAATAACTTAAATACATCAAATACATCTTATAACCACAGAAAAGGTATCTATAACCCGTAATATAGCAAATGGTATTTATAGATGACTAATTACTACTAAAAGATAGTGCCTTATGAAAATTTTCCTATAAATAATAGTGGGCCTGAATCTATCTAAAATATAATAATAAAAAAACTAAGAAAAAGAATTAGGAATCGTGTGGCCGGAGTTATTAGAAAAAATAATGTAAGCATTAGTTTTATGTATTATTCATATATTATTTGGTATATTTTTTCAACTTGCGTATAATTAATACTTGTATAACTAATACTTTTATTAGTTATACATCATACTTGGTATTATTCAATGTATAAGTAATGTATAGAAAACCATGACATTAGTAATACCAAAGTTATTAATACATGCATTAGTATGGTTAAAGACAAAATTATTCTTAAAGTCCCTTAAAACCAGAGAATATAGAGGGCATTTTTGTAAACAATTATTTTTCTTAAAAATGATTTAATGTATTAAGAAATAATAGTTGTATAACTAATGCTTGTATCGCATTTTTATAAACAACTATTTTTCTTAAAAATTATGAAATGCATTATAATTTTAATACACCTCACCAAACAATAAATAAAAAAAAAATATCTGCATAACAAATGCTTGAATTATTAACCCATACATTACTACTAAAAAATAATATTTGCTAACTAATACTTGAATTAATGACCCATATATTATTGATCATGCATTATTTATACACCTTTATTCCGCATTATTTGTGCAAAACTACCTCTTAGGGGTCGTTTGGTAGCCGGTTAGAGAGGAGTTATCTATGTATTAAATGTAGGATAACTTTATACATTGTTTGGTTAAAAGAAGGGGGAAGAATAATCTCCACGTAGAAGCTAGCATAAGTTATACAATGTTTGGTTGTTTTTTCCTCTTTTTCACATAAAATATAGCATTGCTAATACAATGTTTGGTTCATGTATTTTCTTTTCCGCATAACTAAACATGTATAAGTTATGAGGGAATCTATGTATTATTTATGCAAGGTAGAAGGTGGAATAACTTATACATAATTAGTAATACTTGTATTAAAACACAAAATGACAAGAATACCCTTTATTCAAACTTGTATTTTTTTGTTTAAAAAAATATATTTAAACTATACTAACAATTTTAATAAAAATAAAGTAAGCTAATAATAAATAACACTCATATTATATTTATATTACTAATCCTTATATAACTACCGCATAACTAATCCCCGCATAATTAATCCATGCATAATTAATCCCAACATAATTCAACCTTGCATAACTTATCCCTGCATAACTAATACCTGCATTACTTATTCCTGCATAACTAATACATACATAACTAATACCTGCATAACTAATACATGTATAACTAATACCTGCATAACTCTAACCGATAACCAAACGACCCCAGGGTTTCTTCGCTACTTCATAGGTCACCCAATTCTTCCTCCCATATCGTTGCAATTCACTCATCCGAATATGTTTCACCTCCGGAATCTGTTTCAGCAGCATAGGGATGTCTCTTTGAAGCTTGCAAGGCATGTATTCTTCAGCAATTTTGAAGGCCATCAGTCCGTAGCAAAGGTCCTTCGAGGATCGACCTGGAAACAAACAGATGCATTCTTAACCTTAGCCAATCGTGTTGTCCCAACGGCGGTTCACAAAGGGGAAAGTAACATGATCTTCTCTCCGTTGTTGATGCAAGTAGTGTTGGGTCTCATGACGGCGGGTTCAGCTGGTCCGAGCCGTGACGAGCTTCTCTCTTTCCTCAAATCCAATTCTACTGATGAAATCAACTATCTCTCTTCTCAGCTCGTCGACTATGTCCTTCTTGATGGTACCCCCAATGGTGGCCCTCGTTTGTCTGCCGCTAACAGCGTCTGGGTCGATCAGCGTGCGAGTTTGAAGCCATCTTTCACACAGATTGTGGACAATGTTTACAAGGCTACTTCTCTTTCCGTTGATTTTGCGTCAAAGGTTAGTTTTTTAATACTCCTACCGTTGATTAGGTAGTTCAGTAGAGTTCGTCTTTGCTGTTTTAGGATGCTTGTTGGTAGACTAAAGTTTTCTCTATCGGAGATGATTCTCTAACTGCTTTACTGTTTTAAGCATTAATTTCATTGTATAGGGGATGCCAACTAGTATTTTATTTTTAGGCAAAATACATAACTAGCCACCTAACCTATACCCCAAATCCCTGTTACACGCTTTTTTAGGACGAATATCATATTACACACGCAACCTTTTAAAATTGTGTCTAGTACACACTACTTTTTTCTCGACCAATTTTTCAGAATATGTGTAATGTCAAGCATCAATAACATTGTGACACGTGTTAATAATTTTTTTAAAAAAATAGTTAAATTTTTCTTGACCAATTTCTCTTTCCTCGTGTCTTTCTCTTTCACAAGAAAACCAGAGCCACCACCATACTTCCATTCTTCTCTTTCTTTGAAGACCCACTTTTTTCATCATCTTTGTTTTTCTTTACCACTATTTCTCCTTACTCTAAAACCTTATCACCATTTTTTGGTTTCTAGGTTGTATTTGTTTTGTTTGCTATGGAAACACCATTTTTACCGATGGGTGTTGCCATTGTAATAGTGGCCGAAAAATGGAGGTCGCCATCGTTTGCATTTTTTAACCAAACGAGACCAGATCTGAACGAAGAACTACCAACTTGCCGGAAAGATCTGAGAGCTCTACCCAGCCGGAGAAGATTGACCTCATCGGCCATGATCTAACAGTGAAAGTAACGACCTAAAGGTCTCTACATTGCTTGAGATCGTCGCTGGCATACGAGTTATGGCCAAGATCTACTTCAAGGAGGTGAAAGGGGGAGGAGATGGCCGACGGGAGGCATGGGAGAGAAAAGGGAGCTGTGGTTGTCGCCGGATTCCCAAGACGGCAAGGGCTCCAAATAGGGGAAGAAGGCCTGGATATTTTTTCTTTTCTTTTAACTAATAATTTAAGAAAATTAAGGAGAATAAATAAGATTTAGACACGTGTGATTGTATAAGGATTTGGACAGATAATGCATATGCTTCACGCGCTCAGGTTTTTTGTTAAGCACACACGTGCCATCTGGCATAAGTAGTGTGTACTAGACACAATTTTAAAAGGTTGCGTGTGTAATATGATATTCGTCCTTAGAAAGTGTGTAACAGATATTTGAGGTATAGGTCAGGTGGCTACTTATGTATTTTGCCTTATTTTTACAATAGCTTTCTCTATGTTTGAGCAGGGATCAATGCGATATCTGAACTTGTAAAAATCAGATCTTTTTAATATTTGAATGAACAGATAATAAATGGGTTAGAACAGAGGATTCTTGGTTGATTTAATTATGAGGTTGCTTTATGGCATCCTTTTTGTATAAGGAAATCTATTGCGTGAATTCTTTCTTTGTCCTTCCTAGTTTTCCTAAAATACTTAGTACGTATCATGGATTTGTCATACTTTCTATCTACTTTATTTTGCAGCTGATAATCACCTAGGATGTGTATGTAGCTTAAATTGAAATACTATAATGTGCTAAGTTGTGTACCAGTATTGATTTTTTCAGCTCTGTGAACTATCAAGTTAGCTGGGTCAGGTAATGTGGTGAATGGATTGTGAACTAGGACACCAGAAGTAACAGTTTCATTATAAATTCTTCCTACTACTATGGAGCCTGGCTTTTTTGTTCTTGTGGATTGCTAGGCCCTGAAACATCTTTTAACCAATAGGGCCAACAGAAACAGCCTTGTCTTACATATGAAATTCAGTATGATTATCTTTTATTCTCAAAGGATTTGCGTTTCTGCTTTTAGGTAGGTCAGAGATGGTGCAGTTCATCTTTTAGCTAGATCAGAGATGGTGCGTTTCAATATTGTTGCACTTTGGGCTTTATCTTTGTGTGGTACCTTATTTCGCTTAGCTCTGCGGTTAAATTTGTGCAAATTCCGATAAACAGCATGCCAATGAACGGTGTCTCACATATTTTCACTATGCTTATTTATCTCCACATGCACTGGAGATTGAAGGAGTTTTACATTCATTTCTTAGAAAACATGCTATACTCTTCGACTTTTTTTAGGGTCTTAGCAATTTTTGCTTTGATAGTTCTTCTGAGTATTCACTATGGTCTCAAATATTGATGTATCTCCACAGGAGATTGAAGAAGTTCTAAATTCATTTTTAGGAGGCATGCGATATTCTTCGACTTCATTTTTAGGGTCTTAGCAATATTAGCTTTGATAGTTCTTCTGACCTCTGTCAGGAAAAAAGGTTAGAAATAAATAAAAGGAAACTTAAATAGAATCCGTTGCATATACTCCATATTTGTTTTACAATGGTTATTAAAGAAAAAAACATATTTGGTTTACAAATTTTTGATGGTAATGTAGCCTCTTGAGGTGGTCAATCAAGTGAATCAATGGGCTGAAAAGGAGACAGCCGGCCTCGTCAATGAAATTCTACCCGTTGACGCAGTTGACCATTTAACCAGACTTGTCTTTGCAAACTCACTTTACTTCAAAGGTGTCTGGAGTGAGAAGTTCAATGCATCAATGACAAAGAACAGTGAGTTCCACCTTCTCAATGGGACCTCCATTCAAGTGCCCTTCATGACTTGCCAGCAAGCGATATGTAAAAGCTTATGAAGGCTTCAAGGTGTTGAGGCTTCCTTATACACGTGGCTTGGATAGGCGTCATTTCTCCATGTATTTCTTTCTGCCTGATGCGAATGATGGACTGCCAGGCCTGGTGGAAAGAGTCACTTCAGACTCCGAATTCTTGGAGCGTCACCTTCCATATGCGAAGGTTGGAGTTCGTGAATTTCGTATCCCCAAATTTAAAATATCTTTTGGATTTGAAGCTTCTGAAGTTCTGAAAGGGCTCGTCGTGGTATCGCCTTTCTCTGGCCATGCCCTCACCGAGATGGTGGAGACCATTTGTAACAAGGGCCTGTTTGTTGATAGCATCTTTCATAAGTCCGTTATTGAGGTAGATGAAGAGGGCACAAAAGCTGCTACTGCAATGCCTAAGGTCTCATTCAGGAGAGAAAGTAGATTTCATTGCTGATCATCCGTTTCTCTTTCTGATTAGAGAAGATGGAACGGGCGTGGTATTGTTTGCAGGTAGCATCCTTAATCCTCTCCTTGAGTAAGTTGTACCCCTACATGTAGGTCGGCAATACTACTTGGAGATTGATGCTGTACTCTATGCTTGATGCTGTACTCTATGCTTCTATTATGTTGTACTCTCTGCTTCTATTTAGGGCTTGGACTTTTTTGGGTGCCCATAGTTGCCCCAACACCCCTTACTAGAAAGTAATTTATTATGGAAAAGCATCGGTATGGAGCCTTCATGTATCCTACTTATGCTTTTGATTGTGCCTTGTACTTTGAACTAATGACATCAAAGGTTTGTCTGGTATTTCAGTTTCTAGTCATGGTTGTTTTGCTACATGTGTTTTCTGTTCTGTTTGCCTGACCAAAAACAGGATGCATATGATGAACATGCTAACTACTGTGGAGAAGTAAATGTTTCGAGATGGCACAGCTTGAAGCAAGTTAGAAATTGTTGCTAGCTCATTTACCATAAATCATGTATGCTAAGGTTTTCTCTATAACCTCGGAAATGGATTTTCTTTTCTATTTGCTCGCTATATTAAATGGAACGAAGCCCTTGTTTTAAGTTTATTGGCATCACCTTGCTTTCCCCTTGAACGTCAGAGGATTTAGATAATGCTCATGAATTTGTTGATAAGTTCCCTTTTTATCTCGTTTCGACTTTTAAATATTTGCATGGGTACTGTGTTAATAGATATCCTTTAATCCCACTCTACCCCCCCCCCCCCCCCCCCCAAAACCAATCCCAAACACCCACTCGGAAGATTTTATAACGAAGTAAGCTGTTTTAATGAATAGGGGTGGAGCTAGAAATCATGATAAGTATATTTGCATTACATATGTGTGCGTATTCAGCTTCAATAGGTAATTATTAGTACTTTGAAGTTTGTTTACCCGTAAAATGGTACAGTTAAATTTATATATGGTTATGTCTCCGGGGACAATAGCAACGATATCGATAAACAAGAAGATAAAATTATATTGAGCTTTGAATAAAGTGTAGCGTATGTTTGGCAGAATTTTTTTGTCACCTACAATGGTAATAAAGCTCACTATTTATAATTGTACCTAGGGAACACGGTCCTAGGATCAAACCCATCTTTAATGTCAATTATGAGGACCATTGAAGAATGTGTAACTACAAGCAGTGAATGCCATATTCCTTGTAACGAGCCGTGTACTTAATGCTGTAGAATATTTCTCATTAAATGCTACCGGGGTAAAAGGCATGTATTTCATCTTTATGAGTATCATTCTCTCTGGTAACAGACGGGATCGTTGTCTTCGCATTCAACTATCTTCTGTGTTCGGCTCCATGTGTCACTTCCTCATGTTATCATTTATATAAACATATTTTACTCTATACAGATAGTTCCCCTGCTTTCTGGTGCAATATCTTTGTGTCACCGGGAAGTTGGTAGAAGCATCTTCTTCGGCGGGAATTTCACTGACCCCTCTGAAAAGTTTCTGACGGTTGATTAGACGCACATCTCGCCGTATTTAATGTCCCGAAAACGCGTCATCCTGCGATTTAGCATCACTTTTACCGGTAAGCGAGGCAATTATGACCATGAATTTAGCCGCATATACCTTTACTTGTACGCTTCAACCTCCTTCATTTACAATTCATAATACTTTAAATTTCTCAAACTTTCTTTACTCAACTTATACTCCGTCTTTAACATTTCTTTAACTTTCTTTTTTGAGAGAAAGCCTTCTTTTTTTCCAAAAACCCTAGTTCTTAAAAAAATAAATGTACATGTGATGATGCTGCTCCCCTACAGTGAGTACCATCATCCCAAAGAGTCTAGTTACTACCAAAGATTTTGAATAGAAGTATCCTTCTGTTCACCCTCGTACGTGGGTTTTTAGTGTATATCCTTCTTTATTTGTCCTTCCAGTATCCTTACTGTGAAGGAAGACTGCCAATGTCAAGATTTGGACATTATCGCTCCCGACTTGGCGGAGCGGATAATCTTATCCAAGAAGGGTTTTAC